CGGCCAAGGGGGCAAAGGGGGGGAGGGGGGAGTGGGCGGAGCGGATGTTGCGGGCAGCGACGTGACTGGGGAGCGCGGCTGGGGCCGGGGATAAGGGTGGACGCAGTGTGACGTCGGCGTGGCGTACGGTGGCTGTGGCCTGGGCGTGGCGTGGCGGAGGCGTGGGGGGCGTGGCGGGGCGGGGGCGTGGCGGTGGCGGGCTGGGCGTGGCGTGGCGTGGGCGGTGCGGCGGGACAGGGCCGGGCGGGAGCAGGGACTGGGCGGCGCACATGGGCTAGGTTGCTGTTGGGCACCCTGCGGCTGCGGCGGGGCTGGCTGGGGCGGGCCAGCACTCGCGGGCCTGAGGCGTGGGCGCAGCTGCCGGGTCGGGCCGGGGCAGGGTAACGAGGCTGACGTGGGCGTGGACGGCCTGGGGCCGGAGAGAGCGAGGGACGGCTGCCGGCACACCGCGGGCGTCGATCAGAGAAGGGGGGCGTGAGAAGTTGTGGTCGTATAGGGCAGCGGCTGAGGGACGGCACCGGGGTCCGGGCCTGGGGGTGAACGTGGGGGCGGAGCGTTTTTTTGGACGGTGCGTGGCAGCGTGGAGGGTGCTGACCGCATTGACGCTCTTTTATCGGAATGCGCCTGGTTTATGCAAGCGTTAGAACGACTGTCAAATTTTAACAGGGTTACAACAAAGGCACTAATTCATATTTGTCTCCCAAAGGGATACTTTTAAACGTGTTGTACTTGAACAATCGTAAGAGTTGGATGTCTGTTTGGGACCGGGATAGCAGCGGTGTTCGGAAGTCGTGAGGTGCGGGGCAGTTGATTAAATTTAAATATTTGTTGTTTTCCTACGCAAAACATGGGAATTGTTTGATTTCTGGATCCTCGGCCGGCTGCCGACTGAGAGCGCGCGTACGTGACTCGATGAACGGCAACCTGCGGCTGTACCGGATAGGAGTATCGAAGAGCACAGGGCTCTATGTAGAACTTATATAGAACCCTCGAAATGGCTAGAGCGGTAGAAAGCTACAGAAAACACTAGAGAGCAGCTAGCCAACTCATGATATTAGAATTCTACCTCTGCCGCAACCCAGAATAATTGGCTCATAGAATTAATATCATGCTCACATCAGATATACTGTCCTACGCGAACAGACAGGACACACGCTCATTGAACTGGTTGCTACGAAATGAGACAATGTGAGAGTGCCGCTTGAGTTCTTTCTAGTTCACGACGGTTTAGTAGTGCCTCATCAGGTTCCATGTGTTGTAATTTCTATAAATGGTTTTTAAATGTTCTAAAACGGAATAGAGTGGTGGTCCACTTAGACCTAAGATCGCTCGCACAACGGTATGTAAGCATACGCTCACGCGGTCGGGGCGGGCACACGGAGAAATGACTTCTGTATGCACAAAATTCGGACTACGAAGGATCACTCTCTCTATAGGGAGAGAGACCGTCGCAGGTTAAGAGACCCGAAGAAAAGACTATACCTTTTTTACCAAATTGGAATGGTAACAGTTTTTGATGCGAAACATATTTTTGATCTGAACACACATCTCTAACATATTAAAGTCGGCGATCGTTGAATAAAACGACTGGAATGCGTTACCGACAGATTCTTTCTACACATAGTTTGAAAATGAGCATTGCTTGATTTGTCATTGAGATCTACGAGCATGTGTTACTCTCATTTGAATACAACTAATCCGCAACCAAGCGTCCCCAAATAGATGCCATGAGGCACGCTGGCTAATACGTTACACTTGACATACCTCCAACTGCGGTTGGCAGAACACCCACAGTAGTTATTACTGTCGACTTACGAATATTCAATTTACCATAATTTGCATGTCACTATGTCTTACGTTGTCGATCCGGATAGCAGATAAGGCGTATCGCAAAGGCTTCAATCTCGGATCGAAGTATCGCGAGTTCGGATCCCGCCTCAGTCATGGATGTATTTGTGATCATCCCTTCACCCTTCATCATCATCCTATCACTTCATTAAACAGGCATTAATAATTCCCTGCGCGAGCAGGAGAATTGCCCTTAATGAGGTGTGTAGATGACTAGTAAAAAATGCCTTAA